GCTGGATTATGATCCCCGGCAGAGCGCGGATTTTCCGGCACAGCTACAAAAACAGACGACAGAGAGCGAGCCGAAATTTCTCCAAATAACGAGAATCGTGTTACTATTTTTTATTCTTTCATCTCCATCATGAGCCAGTTACCACCTACAGGATCTGGAAACGCGTCACACTCACCGATCTGAGTCACTTACAGGATCTGGAATCGCGTCACACTCACCGATCTGAGTCACTTACAGGATCTGGAATCGCGTCACACTCACCGATCTGAGTCACTTACAGGATCTGGAAACGCGTCACACTCACCGATCTGAGTCACTTACAGGATCTGGAATCGCGTCACACTCACCGATCTGAGTCACTTACAGGATCTGGAAACGCGTCACACTCACCGATCTGAGTCACTTACAGGATCTGGAATCGCGTCACACTCACCGATCTGAGTCACTTACAGGATCTGGAAACGCGTCACACTCACCGATCTGAGTCACCTACAGGATCTGGAAACGCGTCACACTCACCGATCTGAGTCACTTACAGGATCTGGAATCGCGTCACACTCACCGATCTGAGTCACTTACAGGATCTGGAAACGCGTCACACTCACCGATCTGAGTCACTTACAGGATCTGGAATTGCGTCACACTCACAGATCTGAGTCACTTACAGGATCTGGAAACGCATCACACTCACCGATCTGAGCCACTTACCGTCCGTCTCCGTGTATCAGGAAGTACCGGAGCCTTTGGATCAACATAACAGCCAGGTGTTCTATCAAAGTCTGTGACTGGGTTAGAATGTGTGACCGGTGACGTGGTCACACATTTTAACGTGATCCCGCCCACTTGTTCAGTGGTGGAATATGTGACCGGCGAAAGGTGAAGAATTCCAGCTGCTCCAGGGCAGATGGGCATCGCAGATGGTATGTGCAGGAGAACCACCGCCGAAAAAGTGGGCGGGATCACGTGAAACGCAGTCACAATCTTAGATAGAACACAGGCAAAGCATGCGTTTCGGTGGTCCTTCAGATCAGTCCTGGGCAACATTGAACACACACATGAACGCAGCTCTGCAGTCACTCAGACGTCATTATAAAGCTCAGATCAAATATGGGAACACATGTATACATTTCAATGCTTGAGTTCTTTCCCTCCCCCATCCACCCAAAACAGAACCTGGGTGGGGCAAACTCCGACCCTCCAGCTGTTATGGAACTACAAATCCCATGATGCATTGCAAGACTCTGGCTCGTCCCAGAGACCGATGCATGATGGGATTTGTCAATTCACCCCAGCTGAGTGCCTTAAAACACCCCCATTGGTTCTTGTCAGACTTTTTTCCTGTAGTATGTTTTTGTTTTTATTGTAGTGTTCTGAAGTGCTACACTGTACCACCCGACCAGAAACTATTCTCTGAGGTTAAAAAAAAATATATAATACTGTAAACTGTTGAAGAGCAGACATATATTTTTTTTTTTTAATTGGGCCGGTATCAAATAAAATGGGACAGTCCCCGGCATGGCTGCCTGTAGCCCCTTCTTGCAATTTGTTCTGCGAGATACGTGGCCCCTGGAACATTTCTCGAGAGTGAGGGACAAAGAGCAAGAGAGTGAGGGACAAAGAGCAAGGCTCCGCTGCACAGGATTGGTTAACGCCATTTTGGACGCAAAATTTGTTCAAACGGTTCGGCATCAAAATCCAAAAACATTTATTGGAAGATCCCACATTTTTTGAAACAATATGGAAATATATCCAACAGTTGTTTAAAGATTTCGGACCTGCGTCAGAACAAATCCAGAAATCAGCCATCAGAAGATTCCGATTCGTTGGCCGATGTCAACGTCGATCCAAAGAAAAAACAAAAAAGTCTATTTAATGAATAAAAAGAAAAGAAATCTGATTTTTCAGCCAATATCAAGACGGGTCCCAAAAACATCTATTCGAAGATTACAATTTTTGGATATATTTCTACATTGTTTTAAAAAAATAGTAAAGATTTCGATTTTTGGGCCAATATCAGAATGGATCCAAAAACATCTATTTCAGAAGATTCCGATTTTTGGAACGATCCAGAAAAATCAGATTTTTTTTTTGGACAGATATCAATTTGGATCCAAAAATATCAATTCAAACATTTCAGTTCTTGGACCGATTTTAAAAACAGACCCAAAAAAATATTTACTCCGATTATATTTGAACCAGTATCGAAATGGATCCAAAAAATCAACTATTTAAAGATTCCAATTTTTGGACCACATAGATCCAAAACTTCGCTCAAAGATTTTAAATTCTTGGGCCAATATCAGAATTGTTTCAAAAACATCTATTCAAAAGATTCCGATTTTTGGAACGATCCAGAAAATCAGATTTTTTTTGGACCAATATCAAGATGGATCCAAAAAACATAAATTCAAATTTTTCAGTTCTGGGATCGATATTAAAAACAGATCCAAAAAACATTTACTCAAGATTATTTTTGAACCAGTATCGAAATGGATCCAAAAATGTCCTCTTTAAAAAAAGACTCCAATTTCTAGACCAATGTAGACATATATCCAAAAATTTGCTCATTCAAAGATTTTAATTCTTGGGCCAATATTCCAAATGGATCCAAAAACATCTACTCAATGATTCAGATTTTTGGAACAATCCAGAAAATCTAATTTTTTTGGGCCAATATCAAGATGGATCCAAAGACATCAGCTTTTTGGAGCAATCTCAAAAACAGATCCAAAAATCATGATGATAATTTTTTTGAACTAGTATCGAAAGGGAACCAAAAATCACCTCTTTAAAGGCTCCAATTTTTAGACCAATGTAGACATAGATCCAAAAATTTGCTCATTCAAAGATTTTGATTCGTGGGCCAATATCCAAAAACATCTATTTAAAGATACTGATCTTTGGAGCGATCCACAAGATCTGATTTTTGGACCAATATCAAAATTATTTCCCCCCCTAAATAAAAAGTTTCTGATCTTTGGAACGATCCAGAAGATACGATTTTTGGACCAATTTCAAGATGGATCCTAAAAAAAACTTCATTTTTAGACCCGTATTAAAATGGATCCAAAACACATCTATTTGAAGATTATGATTATTGGACCCGTGTTGAAATGGATCCAAAAATCATCCTAAATTAAAATTTCAGATTTTTGAGGCTTTATTGAAATGGGTTCCAAGGAAAGTCAAACTGTTGAGCCCAATGTGGTACCGACGTTTCCCTCAAGAGTGGGCTAGAGCATGGCTCTTCCATCCACTTTCCAAAAAACACCGGCAAGGCCCAACATGGCCCCACCAACCACTCCTGTGCAGCGTTCCCCTTTAGATACTTGAGGAGAGAAGTGAAATTGGCGGACAGTCAGAGAACTGGTCTTCTACGATTGTCTTACGTGTGGCGATCTCTGGGCGTATCTGTCACATAGTCAATTAAAAAGGTTTTCGACCAAGAAAATAAAAAAACAAAAATATTTAAGAGTTGCTCTGATGGGAACACGCCAGAGGAACGGGTTATTTTATTTTTTTTAGTGTGCCCCCCAACGCCTCGTACGTCATCACGGAGCGTCAAACCTTCTCAGAAATGTGTTTACGGAGGAAGAAGATCTACCGATCTCAGGAAACGGCCCAAGTCTACGCGGCTCCCAGGAAGGTGCGTCGGGAGACCGCCGTCTAGTCTATTAGTGTTTTTGCGTCGTGTTAGCACGCGCGTTGTTCGCCTCTTGGCCGGCCAGGAATTGTGCGTATGCGTTTTCGGCGACGGTTGGTGGGCGTGACGGCTTTTAGTGTAGAGAAGATTTCCGGTACCGGCGAGCCTTTGATGAGAAGTGCTGTCTAGTAAGAGTGATATCCCCCTCCCCTCCCCCCTTCCCAGTTAACTCTCGTGTGGCATTTCAGCACAGCACTGGCACGCCCTCCGCGGTCACCAGCCTCCCGGTGCCCGGGTCGTAGGTCCCCGCCAGGTAGTAGAGGTTTTGCCGGTCCTGGTAGCGCTTGCTGTGGCTCATCTTTTCGTACTGCTGGCGGCTCACCACCTGGCACTTGTGTGAGATTGTCTGTACGTCATTTTCATCCTCGTGCGACGACTGGTACAATGCGTTCTGCGGGGGGGGAAAGAACATCGGTTACTCAGCACGTGCATGGAGACAAGAGTCATGTGATACAAAAAGGAAAAACTCTTAAAGTGCACCTGTCATGTATACCAGAGCTCAGACAGAGGGGTACGGAGAAGAAGACGACAGCGGTCACAGCATTATTGTGGAGGTTCTGGTATATGACCCTTTCTAAAGGTTGGCTTGTTGTTGGAGAGAGGGCATCGGGCTGTGATAAGCCCATTTGCTGCCATTGTATAAACATTGTAGACACATTTCAAGCCTGGACATCAGTTGGGTGGGTACTAGAGACAAGGAGGACACGCCATCTCGTTGGCTTCTTATATCTTGAGGACTGCAAAGTTGGGGGATGCCCAACATCATTCACTGTCCCCATCAACTGTGGTGACATTACAAAGCCAAATGGTGGTGTTACCCTCTCCAGATCAACAAGCTTCCTCAACCTTTCCACCAGGGAGGAACCCTTGAAGGAACCTTTGCTTATAATTACTGTACGTGCAGCTCATGGGACATTAGCATGAAAGCCGAGACATAGGAGTCAGTACTTTGGGTATTTGACACCGAGAGATACTCAATACAACCAAATAATAATTATAATAATAATAATAATAGCCAGAAAAAGAGGGCCAGTAGTGAAGATTGTAGTGCTTCCTCAGGCCAATGGTGGGCAGTTGAGAAATGTCCCTTACACTGGTGGTCAGTGGGAAGAATGTCCCTTACATTGGTGGTCAGTGGGAAGAATGTCCCTTACACTGATGGTCAGTGGGAAGAATGCCCCTTACAATTGGGGGTCAGTGGGAAGAATGCCCTTTACATTGGGGGTCAGTGGGAAGAATGCCCTTTACATTGGGGGTCAGTGGGAAGAATGCCCTTTACATTGGGGGTCAGTGGGAAGAATGCCCTTTACATTGGGGGTCAGTGGGAAGAATGCCCTTTACATTGGGGGTCAGTGGGAAGAATGCCCTTTACATTGGGGGTCAGTGGGAAGAATGCCCTTTACATTGGGGGTCAGTGGGAAGAATGCCCTTTACATTGGGGGTCAGTGGGAAGAATGCCCTTTACATTGGGGGTCAGTGGGAAGAATGCCCTTTACATTGGGGGTCAGTGGGAAGAATGCCCTTTACATTGGGGGTCAGTGGGAAGAATGCCCTTTACATTGGGGGTCAGTGGGAAGAATGCCCTTTACATTGGGGGTCAGTGGGAAGAATGCCCTTTACATTGGGGGTCAGTGGGAAGAATGCCCTTTACATTGGGGGTCAGTGGGAAGAATGCCCTTTACATTGGGGGTCAGTGGGAAGAATGCCCTTTACATTGGGGGTCAGTGGGAAGAATGCCCTTTACATTGGGGGTCAGTGGGAAGAATGCCCTTTACATTGGGGGTCAGTGGGAAGAATGCCCTTTACATTGGGGGTCAGTGGGAAGAATGCCCTTTACATTGGGGGTCAGTGGGAAGAATGCCCTTTACATTGGGGGTCAGTGGGAAGAATGCTCCCTACATTGGTGGTCAGTAGGAAGAATGTCCCTTACATTGGGGGTCAGTGGAAAAATTAAACCTATACGGGGGGGGTCAGTGGGAAGAAAATGCCTTATATTGAACAGTGGGAAGAAATGTCTTTCCATTGGTGGTCAATGGAAATAATTCTTACACTGGTAGTCAATGGGAAGTCCCAATGCCCCCCCTCCCCCCCCGATGGCTATATAGATCACTGGTGTCAGTGGTTACATATCCGAGAGCCAGAAATTGCTGATTGCTCCAGGAACCCGCAAGCAACCTTTGGACCCTAGTTGAGGAAGGTTGGCTTAGAAGCCAATAACCGAGATATGCATCTGTGACAGTAATACCATCATAATGGCCGTTGCACGAGGTTGTGAAACAAGAAAGAGAAATTACACCAATGAAGTCTCCAAAAAAGTCTAAATGTTGGGAGGGGTTAAATTCAGCCTATTGGTAAGTGAGGCCGGCCTTCATGGCCACGCTCCAGCCAACCTCGGAAAGTGTATACACAGCAGCACCACATCTACCCTGCCCGGGGCTTTTATTGAAATTGGTTTTAAATGGTGTTGGCCTTCCACTGAACAATGCCGAGAGGTGCTCAGCCAATCATCAGCGGGATCCTTACTTTGCCATCGCTGTGCCTTTTGCCCAGTTTCGTTTCTTCGGGATGGTAAAACCACTTGACTTTCACCACCATATTGCCGCCCCAGGACTCCCACATGCTCTCGATGCGTCCGATGTAGGGTAGGTTTGGGCGCCCGGCCGACAGGAAAACGGCGCATTCACCCACGTGCAATGTCTCCTTCCCCCGCACGATCGACTTGTAGAAGAGTTTTCTGGCTTTTCCTTTCATTCCCCGTCTCTGGAAAAAGAGGAGAAAAGAACCGATTTAGCGACGTTTGAAGGTCACAGGAGATTGTTCACGTCTTAGGAGCTCGGGGGAAGCATTTGCAATCTTTTTTTGGCACTCCATACATGTCCTTTCATATAAGTCAGTGGCAGGATGCTTACATTTAAAGGAGAACTATGGGGTTAAGGCTTTTCCGCATAGTTCTCCTTAGGGTAACGGGAGGACACAAACTAGCGTCCTCCCGTCACCCTAGGCTCAGTATACCGCGAGCTACAGCTCCCTATATACTGAGACGCCGCAGCCGAAGTGGATCCCGACATCGATGTCGAGATCCGCCCAGCTGCGTGAGTGACAGCTGGCTTTGCCTATCCAGACCCACCTGTACCCGCCCCCTCCCTCTTCCGTTCCGTCAGTGAACGCTGGCGGATCGGAGCGGGGAGGGGGGAATCCAGCCCCTCCCCCTGTCACGGCAGAGAGCCGTGACAGTATCGAGAGGTGAGCGAACGCCGGTATGTGTTCGCTCACCTCCCGATCTACTGAGCCGACCTGTGACAGTCTCATTGTCACAGGTCGGCTAGAACTATGAGGTGAGTGGAAAGCACTCCCCCTCATAGTTCTCCTTTAACAGCCCCTGAGCTCCGGGCAGATATATAATACACAAATAATGCAGCACTGTATACATTAATGGAGAATTATGAGGAGAGTGATTTTCACTCAGCCTCATAATCTGAGCCGACCTGTGACAATGAGACTGTCACAGGTCGGCTCAGTAGATCGGGAGGCGAGGGAACACATACCGGCGTTCGCTCACTTCTCGATCCTGTGCCGGCAGAGAGCCGTGACAGGGGAGGGGCTGGATTCCTCCGATCCTCCAGCGCTGACTGGTGGAACGGACGGGGGAGGGGGCGGGTACAGCTGGCTCTGCCTGTAGATAGGCAGAGCCAGCCGTCACTCACGCAGATGGGTGGATCCAGACATAATTGTCGGGATCCGCCCCGGCTGCGGCGGTCTCTGTATACAGGGAGCTGTAGCTCGCGGTATACTGAGCTTTGGGTGACGGGAGGACGCTGGTTTGTGTCCTCCTGTTACCCTTAGGAAAAGCCCTGATCCCATAGTTCTCCATTAAGTGTAATAAGTGCATTTTTATATGTGGAAGACGTGTAAGTGTCTGAATTTGACCCGGCATCAGCTTCTTGCTGCGTCTATACAGTAACGCTCAGACTGGGAGAAGGAGAAGTAGCACAAGGAGCCCATCAGCTGGATAACAATACACAGTTAAGGAAAACAGTAGACATGTAAGCTTTGGTAAAATTCGGTATAGTTTGGATATTTCAGGATCCGGATCCAAAATCTAATTCGGTTCGGATATTTCGTTATCTCGGGATTCAGATCAGAAATTAAATTCGGGTTCGGAAGATATCCGAATTTTTGTTAGTTTCGGATGAGTTTACGAATATTCGTTGTGAACAGCACAGAAAACCATCTACATATATGAATACTAAAGCTGAATCTCCCAGACCCGCATGGCATTCAGGATCCGAATTTCCGAATTGCATTGGGGAGCTCCTGAATGCCATTCGGTTCTGGGAGCCAAATACATATATTACTAAAACTGAGGCTCCCAGACCCGAATGCAATTCGGAAATTCAGATCCCAAATACCAATTGGGTCTGGGAGATTATCTTTAGTATTATATATATCTATATACAGTATATGGCTCCCATGTTGCCATAAGGACAATTCGAATTCAGACCCATTTGGATGCATTAAATTGAAAAACACATCTGATTGGCCAGAAAAGTCACATGTCCGATTCAATTTAGTTTTTGAGTGAATTTTGGACGGGATCCGAAATTCAGAAATGGAAATACGGATGTGTCCGAATTTCGTACGAATTTTGATTCAGGACTAAACGAATGGCACATGTCTAGAAAACAGTGCTGGCCTATCTATGCCTCCAGCCTGACTGGACAGCGAATAAGCAGCTGAAGACCAATGAGGTCATCCCCCTTCTCTCACCTCCTACCAGCATGTTCCTGGTCATCAAACCTGCATAAGGGGCTCACCTGACTGGCTCCCAGAGTTTTTTTTAACTAGTTGATTTTTTTTTAAATCTACCTGGAGTTTAGCTTTAACTAAAATAAAAATATATGATACATAAATTTCGAACACATAAAAGGTGTGAACTTTCCCACCAAGACAGAGGCAGAAGAGCCCGGCACACATTAAGATACAAGGCCGGTAGAAATAGGCAACTGAACGGGTCATTATGGTTAAAGGAGAACTATGGGGTCAGTGCTTTTCCTCATAGTTCTCCTAAGGGTAACGGGAGGACACAAACTAGCGTCCTCCCGTTACCCTAAGCTCAGTATATAGGGAGCTACGGCTCGCGGTATACTGGAGACCGCCGCAGCCGGGATGGATACCGACATTACTGTCTGGATCCACCCAGCTGCGTGAGTGACAGCTGGCTCTGCCCATCTACCCGCCCTCTCCCCCGTCCGTTCCGCCAGTCAGCGCTTGAGGATCGGACAGGGGAGGGGGGGAATCCCTGTAGGGAGCCTTGAGTGACAGTCACGGCTCTCTGCAGTGATAGATCGAGAAGTGAGCGGCGGTATGTGTTCCCTAACTCCCCGATCTATTGAGCCAACCTGTGACAGTCTCATTGTCACAGGTCGGCTCGAACTATGAGGATGAGTGATTTTCACTCGCCTCATAGTTCTCCTTTAAAGCTGGTGTAATCTATGCATACAGCAACCTTCCCTTGTCCCACTCTGGGTCTGCTGATGAGATTCTCAAAACAGCTGAGGATCCCAAATCTCATGAGAAGACGTTCCAGCGCAGTGCAAGAGAACCTTCAGAGAAAATTTGGGTTTCTCAGCTTTTCCAGGATCTCACCAGAAGGCCCATTAGGTCACGTTTCCCTTTTTTAACTCCTTCCATTGACTTTATTTTGGTGCCAGCATTTTGATGTTGGGATTTTGGAATATGAAAGGCGGAAATTGAAGGAGATCTTTGTGAATAACCAACCTATGGATTAACATATCGAGAGCCATAAAGGAAGACTTCGTACCTGGGTAGGCTCTCCAGACCACCTCCAGAGCTGACGTGCGGGCAGGAAGGTGGAAATCTTTGGCCGGTTTTCCACGGAGGGCAGGCGTTGCTGTCTGGATAGGGGCTCTTTGGTTTTAGGAAAATTTGAAGGGGTCCCTTTCCTCCTCTGTTTGGCTTTTTGTCCTGAGACAAAGCAACCCCGGGACCCTTGTCCGCCATCCTCCGCGTGCTGCGCTAACAAAGCGGGCACCGGGTGAGTGAGGCAGGGCTGCAAAAGCATGGCAGAGTCTGCTTCGTCTGAACTCTCCGAAAAGTCCTCGTTGTCCGTAGAGCATATGCTGGAGCTGGATATGGAGCCGGAACTAGAAGATGAAGAAGACCCCGAGGAAGAAGACGACACCGATATTCCTGCCAGAAATCTAGACGGAACACTTGCTCTTAGTCCTCCCGTGTTATCCTCCTCATCCTGGTCGGAGTATGAGCAATCGCTGTCACAGTTCACGCCATATTCCCCTTGCCCAGTGTACTTCCCAAGTGCGAGGCCCATGGACAAGTGCTCGTGCAGAGGTGGCTTCCGTTTCTTGTCCTTGGCCAATCCCGATGAAGCACCATAGCTTTGCCCGATCCGGAGCCCAAAGTCTTTGTCGCAGAGCAAGAGAGCTTTACCGTTTTTAGTTTTTGGGGACATAACCCCCTCGTGGTCAAGTTTGACTAGAAACTCATTACCTGACTTGCGTTTACCCCCCTTGCCCTTGTCCTCTTCCTCTGGCCTCTCCCCTTTCTTTGTCCTTATAGGCTTTTGTCCTGCCGCAATGCCGCTGTTGGCGCTGCCTCCAAAGGGGCTGTAGGAGTTGGCCAGGCTACTGAAAGAGTCCGCTCCGAAACCATTACCAAACACGTGGGGCTGCTCCCGAGACTTTTGCTTCTTGCTGCTCCCTTGGGATGGGAAGGGATCGTTAAGCCCACCGCCGGTCTTGTTTGCAGCTCGACGCTTGCCTTGAGAAGGCCAGTCTAGCTCCATACTGCTTGAGCGACCTAAGAAGTTGGAGGCAGGCAGTGGAGTCTTTGCACCTGAGTTGAACACATCCATTTTATCTGCAGAAGATGACAGAACACGACATGTAAAATGAGCCCTAATGAACATTTTACTTCTGCTGAGAACAATTCTGTAAAAACTAAAAATTTCTCTTTTTTTGAGTTTATGCTTTTTTCCAAAAACATTTCACACCGATAACACAAACAGCAACTATAGTGCCCCAGACAAAACCCAGAACCCTAGGTCACAAAGTATCGGCAGGAAACTCATTGCAACAACTGTAGACATTCTACTTTTTAGTCCACCCAAAATATTTTAGGAAAAATGGATAATTGAAGTAAAAGTCACCTGACCGTTCTTTGATTGCCACCACTCACCTGCTTTCTCTTTGTTCACGGTTTTCTTGCCAGTGTTTCTAGAGGTGTCTGCCGACTCTCGGTTGTCCGAGCCTGGGTTCTGCGAGGAGTCCGATGCAGTTGTTGTGTTGCTGGCATACCGCTTGGTTCTACGGCTTTCCGCTGACAGCAGTAAAGCTGGAGAGGGTTCCGTACCTGCTGATCAAAAAGAAACCCCATAGTCAAGTTTGAGTATCAGGAACTGTTCATCTACTACTATGATCATTGGCCTCACATGGATAAAGGAAGTTTTAGGTTAAAGCGTAAAGAATGAGATGGTTTACCATGCTGCCCCAAACTTCCGAGCCCTCATATTGACCATATCTGGAAGACAGAGGTGGAAGGAGCTCATTCATGTTGAGAAGCACAGCTAAGGGAGCTAACCCCCCCCCCCTTGGTTACACCCGGTTCTCTATAAAACCATGGTAGCTCCTAAGGCTAAGAGACACAACACCAGCACTGTGAGCTCCCACAGAGCAGTGATCAGGAGTGCGTACCGTTAAAGGTCACTTGGGCCAGATTCAATCGGGTAAGGTCCAAGAAAACCGAAAGCATGCCCCTGGTTTGTTATCAGTCTTACAACTTCTCCATAGTTCCATTTATTGAGTAGAACTTTCCAAGTTTTGCCATTTTTGTACTTGGACTATAGCACGGTAGAAGCTGAAGTTCCCTTTTTAAGCTGGCTAAGTAGATCACTTACACTGAATTGTGAAGTCAGGAGGCAGCAAGCGGATGTTGTTGAGTGTAATTCTCCCCCGGTCTCCATCGTCAAACGCCACAGTCACAGAGTCCGACTCCCCATCATCACTGGAGGGCCCTGGGGAACAAACAGGAGAGATGCTGTAATACAGGAGGAGGGTCGTGGCTAAGCTACAGGCTTCCTGCTGCTCTCCATCTGCTGCCACGGTATGCGACATTTCGCTAAACAAACCTTACTGTAATGGAACCACATGCTGCACAAAAATGGGTTACAGTCCGGACAGCGACCCCTATTGGCTGCTGCTCAGGAGGTTCAAAAAGCCTTTTTTGTATGTAGGTACGTAGATAGGACAGTGTGAGATAGAGAGGTGGCCCGAAAGAGAGAGCGCGAGGGGGAGAGGGAGAGAGCGCGAGGGAGGGAGAGAGAGAGAGGGAGAGAGAGCGAGCGCGAGGGGGAGAGGGAGAGCGAGCGCGAGGGGGAGAGGGAGAGCGAGCGCGAGGGGGAGAGGGAGAGCGAGCGCGAGGGGGAGAGGGAGAGCGAGCGCGAGGGGGAGAGGGAGAGCGAGCGCGAGGGGGAGAGGGAGAGAGAGGGGGAGAGGGAGAGAGAGGGGGAGAGAGCGAGAGAGACTGTACAACCAATCCCACATTCCTGGTTTCCCATGTGTTCTCATGACATCACATCCGATATTTGCCATGGTGTCACTGCTGAGCCTCAATATATAATATGGGACCTTTAAACCAAAATCCTATAACTTAATTTAGAAAAAAAAACCCTGCAAATAATATTCATGTATATGTATGTAAAAGCACTCAGACCCACAAATGAGATATTTGACATTTATAGAGCTGTGCTTCAGATCTGTGTTCGCGGCCATTTTGGGCTAACTGAAGCTGGGTTGGAAAGCGACAGCTGGCAGTAAAAATCCAGGGAAAGCGGTTCAGAAGATATCTCCCCCTCCGGCTATACGACCTTTGTATTAAATAAATTCAGCTTAGACAAGTTGATGGAATTTTAAATACGAATCTAATCCTATTGATTTGTATAGTTCTATCGTCTCCCGTAGCGCAGTACAAAGTAACAAACATAACAAAAGGAGGGCAGTACAGGTAACACAATGTGTCTATTGTTCAGAGTATCTATCCAGAGTTATCAGATGAAGTAACATTTCATTGCGTCTCCAGACAGTGATGATCTTTTCACCTATTAGGTAGCACCTGGCTGGTAGCACTCATTAGCAAAATTATATATACATCATCTATATCTATATATACATATATATAGATCTATAGATATATATAGAGATAGAGATAAAAAAATTGCATATATATATATATATACACACTTTTTTGTCTCGTCCGGGTAGATAATACGAATCAGTTCATCTAAGCGGAATGTCGGGGCTGATGGCCGGGCTCTGGTACAACACATCCACAGTACAGGTCCT